CTTTTTATAAAGTTACTGTATACCAAGATGATCTATTTAACAACCTTGCTAATCAATTTGCTCACAATCATCAAATATTACCTTACCTACTATTTTTAATTAATAATCCTTATAACCTCAACTATACTCCTTTTATTGATAAATTTTCTATTAAAATTCCTATTTGATGCTTTATTTGAACTATATGCCAAGTCCATATTATAATACTTTGAACATCTCAATATCATTTTTAACAATGATCTACTATTGCACCTAACATTAACTGGAAAGCTACATGGCTTTACATTAATAACAATCAAAAATTTTCTAACTTTGCTCATAGCTTCTACTTATTTATTCTGAAAACCTTTCAAGTTAAAATCCTTACAGATGAACTTTCTGTTTCTCATATACTTCATAAATGTAATTTTTCATTTACTTTCTCCTGTCATTAATGCAACCAGACTAGCTCTTCACTCCATTGGGTCATCTGCCCATCAATCCAAACAATTTACCACTTAATCTTTAATTTTCTTAATAGTATTTTAAATACAACTAATCTTGATATGTCTGCCAATCTTGTTTCTAATTTACATACTAAAATTCTTATACTTAACAGTTTCAAACTACACAACTCTTTACATATACCTTCCCTTATTTCTACTTTATCTGGTTTAGTTTCTATTAATCTTATTTCTACTATCTACAATGCTTCTATCCCTTATCATACTGCTACTACTTTTTCTATCAAATTCTTTCTCTACTTAAACCAACAAATATATAAACAAATATGGATTCCATATTGTATTTCATGTTCTGCACAGTTCCAAACTATACTTCCTACTAACTCAACTCATAGTCACTCTTCTAGTCTACCCTTATCCTCTATTTCAATACTACAAATTATTACTAAAATTGATTTTTGGACTATCTAATAGATTAAATATTATACCCCTCTCTCTTATATTATTACTTAAATTCAAATCTAGATGAGCCTTGGCCACTCTTGTAGATTTAGGTTGCAGATTATATATTTGAATATTTATTCTTTATATATAATTTAAAAGCAAGCTTTTTTTTATAAAAACTTCAATTAAATTTCAATAAAGTTAAAGACATGGCCTCACCATTAATATTTAAAAAAAAAAAACTATTTAATAAGCTGTAATAAACAAAGAATTTTGTAAAAACAAATACAGAAAGTTTCAATAATAACAGAATAAAATAGACCCAAAGAAATGAAAAAAAATAAAATTTTAATAAATATATTATACAAAGCATTATTTAGAAAAATAGAAACAAAAAAAATTATAAATAAAAAGATGCTAATAAAAGAACTAATTATAGTAGAAATAAAAAAAACCTTGATAAACTATTAAATAAGCAAGTAATAAAAAATGTCTAAACATAATAACAAGAACAATATGAAATACCTTTTATGATCAAATATAGAAAGTCTAATATAAAAAGATACAAAAGTAAAAAAAAGAAGTTAATATAATAAGTAAAATGAAAAATGATACTTGAATAGAAAAGAACTTAAGAAAAAATAATAATAAAAAAAATAATAATAATAATAAAAAAAAAGAAAAAAGAAATAGAAAAAATAAAGTAAATTAAAAAAAAACTTAGAAAACAATTAATATAATTGTTATAGAAAGAAGAAGACCTTTTTAATATAACTTTAAGTAGTTAGATAAGCAGTCTATCTCTAACTAAAATAGTGCAACAGGTTATACTTAAATATTATTATTTTTTTTTTTTAAATATTAATGGTGAAGCTATGCCTTTAACTTTATTGAAATTCAATTGAAGTTTTTACAAAGAAAAGCTTGCTTTTAAATTACATATGAAGAATAAAAACTCAGACATATAATCTGTGACCTAAACCTACAAGAGTGGCCAAGGCTCACCTAGATTTGGGTGTTAGACACTTAAATATTATTAAAGTAACCAAGTAATGTTAAACTTAGATATTAAAAAATTCTATATAATTATATATGTATTTAGTTTTAAAAATTTTAATAAAGATGAGTGTAAAAGAGTATGGTAACTTAGTAAAATGGTCAGGTTGTCAACCCTTCAAATGGTAGGTTGGGTGTTCAAATTCTATCGACAGTGAAAATTTAGATAATCATTTATATAATATTTGTATTATAACAACTATTACTAATGATTGGGTTAAGATACTTATAATAACAGTTACATCAGCATGACTGACAGGTTATGAGACATCTGTGTAACTTGTTATACAGAGAAATGCAAACCAACAAATTGGGTAGTGCAAACATTAGATAAGTTTTTGTAGTTATATAAATCTGTTGAAATTGAATAACAAGAAGTTTATTTAAAAGATCTAAATAAAAAGATAGTTAGACCTTTAATAGCCTTACTATAAAGATTAACCTTATAAAATGAATACTAATGTCTAAATAGCCAAATATGCAAAAACCTCTGGATAGGAGTATTACCAACCAGGCTGTCAGAATAGACTAAAGGAAAAGGATATTAGACTAATCTAATATATTAATAAACTGATTATAATCCTATTAGACTATTTGAATTGGAAGTTTAGTAAACAGGCAAGAGTATACTAAAGTATTTCAGATATGCTGTAAAATAGATACTAGGATCTGTATAAACTCTACAAAGATATAGCAGTTTAATAGTTAGTTCTAATTGCAAGTATTAGTTCTACTATAGTAATATCAGATTAGCTGTAAAAATAGATACGAAAGGTTCTAGAAGGTTTATCTTAAGGATAAAACAGTTTTAAGGTTGAGATAATAATCTGGATGTCTGAATATAACCTAATAAAGTTAATGAATTTGCAGGTTCAGAGAGTTTAAAATAGAACATTTAAGCAGAGATTTTAGTTATAACAATTGATAAAAAAATTTCAAACAAAATTCTTAAATAAGTAATATAGAAAACTTATATATATAACCAATTGTATACTTTTTTGTAATGATTTATTAAATTACATTATTAAAAAAGTTGTTAATAAAAAGTCAAAAAACCAAAAAGGTTAGGTCTCTATCATTTTTCTAATAATCATTTTTTTGACAAACTCTTCTCTAATAATCATTATCTGATAATTATTTTTCTGACATGTTAATTTCTTTGACAATCTTTTCTCTAATAAATAATATTCCTAATAATAATTTTTTTTAACAAGATCATTTTTCTAATATAATTATTTTTCTGACATAATCATTTTTTTGACATATTATTTATTCAACATATTAATTACCTAACATAATTATTTTTCTAGCATATTATATTCATTCAATATATTATTTATCTAAAAATTACTTACCAGACAAAATTATCTGTTTTTTTTTGAATTGTAAAATAAATAAATATTTATGTTTGTTATTTTTAATTTTAATTTCATAAAGACAACAATTTTAAAATTGTATATTTCACTGACATTTTCTATTTCAGCTTTTTTTTCTTTTTTTGCATTGTAAAATAAATGAATATTTTATGTCTACTCTTTTCAATTTCAATTCTATGAAGGTAGTAATTTCTAAAATTGTATATTCTACTAACATTTCTTATTTTGACTACTTTTTTTTTGCATTAATAATAAATAAATGTTTTATGTTCATCTTTCTTAATTTTAATTTTATTAAGATAGTAATTTTCAAGATCATATGTTCTATTGGCATTTATCATTTCAGCTATTTTTTTTTTTTTGTATTAAAAATAAATGAATATTTTATGTTCACTCTTCTCAACTTCAATTCCATAAAGGTAGCAATTCTCAAAATCATATATTTTACTAACATTTATCATTCTGATTGCTTTTTTTTTTGTATTAAAAATAAATAAATGCCTTATATTTATTCATTTCAACTTCAATTTCATTAAAGTAGCAATTTTCAAGCTTATATGTTCTACTAATATTTACCATTCTAGCTGCTTTTTTTTTTTTGTATTGTCAAATAAATAAATGTTTTATATTTTTCTTTTTAACTTCAATTTATGAAGATAGTAATTTTCAAGATTGTATGTTTCACTAACATTTTCCATTCTGACTGCTTTTTTTATTTTGTATTGTAAAATAAATAAATGTTTTATATTCACTCTTTTCAAATTCAATTTCATAAAAACAGCAATTTTTAAAATTATATAGTTCACTTATTTTTACCATTTCAGCTACTTTTTTTTTGCATTATAAAATAAATAAATGTCTTATGTTCATCTTTTTCAACTTCAATTTCATGAAGGTAGTGTGAGCCCGATTTTTGGGACCACAGGTGCCTGAATCGAAGCAACGATCCTTACCTGATCCTTACCTAATCCAAGGTCATGCGAAAAGTAACGGAAATGTTACTTCTATTACTTTTCTTACTTCTGTTACTTCTGTTACTTATGCTATTTCTTTTACTTATAAGATAAATGAGATATCGGCCTTTTCTTAAATATAATTAGAATGTAACAGATATTAGATTTATGTTAGAAATTAATAACCAATGTAAACAAAACGTTTATTATAAATAAAGGGCATTTTTGCCTTGGGAAAAGAGGAAAGAATTGTCCTATATACCAATAAATCCCCTAATATCACTAAATATCTGATCCCTAATAAAAGTATAAGTGTTATCCTATACAAACTAATAAACTATCGTTAATCCCATCCCTAACATAATCGTTTGTTCATAAACCATTGCAACCACCTTTGGACGTTCGCCACAAGTTACGTGACCAAGCCGTTAATGCAAGAGAAGGATTCAACTCCGATTTGATGTATCGTAAGCCCAGGTTAAATCATACAAGAGCAGAGAAGAGAAGGCAAGGGTTAATAGAAGAATAGGTTGAAGAAAAGACTTGGAAGAGAAGATTAGTACTTACCTACAGATAGAGCACCAGCCAAATCTAACATGCCTATTTCGACTTAGCCACTGTAGGTTATGTGAAAATTGGATTAGAGTTGCAACCGAATCACTGATTATTGAATCACATTTGGTAGTGACTGTGAGATACAGAATTAAAGAGAAACAATAAAGTTAGAAATGTTGATGAGATGGAAGACTATGCCATCAACTAAAAAAATTGAACGAAAAACTTACTGCCCAAATCGAAGCTTGCTCAAGACACCAATCAGTACACAAGAATTGCAGACCAACCTATAGAAAAAAAGAAGAAACATTAGAAGAAAAAGCAAGAAATTTTAAGAAAAGAAAAAGAGACGCACCACAAAGATCCAATCCACTACATAATAATTCTGCCTGAAGATTATTATCTCTAGAAAATCATATTTCAAAGCCATGTCAAAAGAGAAGTCCACCCACAACAAATAGCACCAGAACCTACAAAATAAAAGAAGTAAGAAGTGGGTTAGATGAAAACGAAGGCGAAATAATTTACTTATCCTGCTTAATCGATACGCCCCAGGGGATAATATTTAACTATAGTTGGACAGAACCAGTTCGAGAAGAAGGAAGGCAGAAAGGATCTGAAACTGGGAGAATTAGAAAAGGAAAGAGTAAATCAGTTAGCAACTTATCTGAAGATAAGAAAATAAAGTAAGATGGAACATACCCTGATGATGCCAAAGATTTCAAGCCTGATATTGTTGACTTGAGAAACAGAGTTGGAGTCAAAAAGGATGACCATAAAGCCTTCGAATACTCCCAAAAATCTGCAAAGATGGGGAATGCTAACGAAACAAGGAAAATTGGACCTTGTTATCGAAATGGAATTGGAGTCGAAAAGGATGAACGTAAAACCTTTAAACATCATCAAAAATCCGCAGAAATGGAGAACGCTGATGGAGCAAAAACTTGTTATCGAAATAGAACTGGAGTTGAAAATGATAAGCTTGAAGCCTTCGGAAACTATCAAAAATCTGCAGAAATGGAGAATGTTGATGGAACATATAACGTTGGATATCAATATAAAAAAGAAATCGAAGCTGAAAAGGAAGAACATGAGGCACCCCTCATTATCAAAAACTTGATGATACGAAAGATGAAAAGAAAGTGTTTAGAACGCCTTTCAAAATCACTGAAGGGAAATTCGAACCTGATCATGATGAAGCTGAAAATGGTGAAACCAATGAAAGTAATGACAATAATGATAACGGAAATAATGATGGAATTAGAGTCGAAAAGGATAACCGTAAAGCCTGCAAATACTATTAACAATCTGCAGAAATGGGGAATGCTGATAGAACATATTATGTTGAATCCTGTTATAAAAATGGAATTGAAGTTAAAAAGGACAGCCATCAAGCATTGGACGATGATAACGATGATAATAATGATGATGGTAATCACAATGACAATAATGATGATGACGATAATAATGGCAGTAATAACAATGATGATGAAGATAATAATGACAATGGTGATGATAATGATGATAATATGATCTGTGATAAAGAAAATGAGAGAACTAAGATTGAAAAAGATACAGGCCAGGAAGCAATGAATAACCCACCTTCTAAACTTGAGAGGTTTGAAGCAGCAAATGATCGACTGCTTTATGGGCTCGAACTACCTAATCTCTGAATGATCTGTGAGAGATAGATAAATAAAGTGAGTAAGTATAGAATGATGTACAAGGAAGAATTAGAAAAAGATGTATCATACCTTCTTGAACTTGAGGCACCAACAAACCAAAATAGAATAGGAAAACATAAGGCAAAAAAAATCAGAAAGTTTATCAAACATGTAGAGGGACCAAATTTGGAAGAAAATAGATTATGTATGCATAAATCGAGGCCAGACCAAAAGTGTGAAGAAATAAGGCTGAAGACTGACGTCGAACCTGTTGGACTAGAAGGAAAGTCACAAGAATTAGAAAAACCAAAGCAAGATGACAAAAAAATATATCAGAAAGAATTAGTTAAACCTACCTTCCAAGTGAAGCTAATGCCGAAGGAATCCAAACCAATACCACTCGAAGAAGAGGCCAATGAAGTCACAGAATGGGTGTCGAAACCTAGAGAGGCTGAGGAGTTGACGTGAGATGAAGGAAGGTTGGCTCGAAAGGACATCGATGAACCAAACAGCAAAGAAACTGCAACGCAGATTGAACCCGAACCACCACCTGTGAGAGAAGCTAATAACAATAAAGAAAAGATTCCTAAAGATAAAACACAGAAGAGAGAAATTAGTAAAATGGATCAAAAACGAAAAGACAAAGAACCAGAAGAATACTTCCCTTCTGTAATTAATCCACAAAAGAACCCTACCACCGAAGCATGATGACTTGAAGTTTCTGTGAAGCTCCTATTTATGCATGATACACATAAACTAAGTGGAGGAGAAATGTGAGCCTGATTTTTGGGATCACGGGTGCCTGAATTGAAGCAACGATCCTTACCTGATCCTTACCTGATCCAAGGTCACGTGAAAAGTAACGGAAATGTTACTTCTATTACTTTTCTTACTTCTGTTACTTCTGTTACTTATGCTATTTTTTTTACTTATAAGATAAATGAGATATCAGCCTTTTCTTAAATATAATTAGAATGTAATGGATATTAGATTTATGTTAGAAATTAATAACCAATGTAAACAAAATGTTTATTATAAATAAAGAGCATTTTTGCCTTAGAGAAAAGAGGAGAGAATCGTTCCATATACCAATAAATCCCCTAATATTACTAAATATCTGATCCCTAATAAAAGTATAAGTGTTACCCTATATAAACTAATAAACTATTGTTAATCTCATCCCTAACATAATCGTTCGTTCATAAACTATTGCAACTGCCTTTGGACATTCGCCGCAAGTTACATGACCAAGCCGTTAATGCAAGAGAAGGATCCAACTCCAATTCGACGTATCGTAAACCTGGGTTAAATCATACAAGAGCAGAGAAGAGAAGGCAAGGATTAATAGAAGAATAGGTTGAAAGAAAGACTTGGAAGAGAAGATTAGTACTTATCTACAGATAAACCACCAGCCAAATCTAACATGCCTATTTCGACTTAGCCACCATAGGTTATACGAGAATTGAATTAGAGTTGCAACCGAATCACCGATTATCGAATCACAGTAGCAATTTTCAAAATTGTATGTTCTACTAGAATTTATCATCCAGCTGTTTTTTTTATATTGAAATAAATAAATATTTATATTTTCTTTTCAATTTCAATTTTATGAAAGTAGCAATTTTCAAGATTACATGTTTCACTAGTATTTACTATTCTAATTGCTTATTTTTTATATTGAAAATAAATAAACATCTTATATTTGTCTTTTTCAACTTTAATTTCATAAATGTAACAATTTTCAAAGTTGTATATTCCACTAGCATTTCCTATTCTGGTTGCTTTTTTTTTGCATTATAAAATAAATGAATATTTTCAATTCTATGAAGACAACAATTTTTAAGATTATATGTTCTTTTTACATTTAACATTCTAGCTGCTTTTTTTTTGTATTATAAAATAAATAAATGTCTTATGTTTGTTTTTTCAACTTTAATTTCATGAATATAGTAATTTCCAAGATTATATGTTCTACTGGTATTTACCATTTTGGTTATTTTTTTTTTATATTAAAAATAAATAAATGTTTTATATTTTCTTATTAACTTTAATTTTATGAAGGTAGCAATTTTCAAAATTATATATTCTACTGATATTTACTATTTTGGCTGCTTTTTTTTTTGTATTGAAAATAAATGAATATCTTATATTCATTCTTTTCAATTTTAATTTTATAAAGGTAGTAATTTCTAAAATTATACTCTACTAACATTTACTATTTCAGCTACTTTTTTTTTGCATTAAAAATAAATGAATGTCTTATATTTTTTTCAACTCCAATTTTATGAAGATAGTAATTTCCAAGATTATATGTTTTACTAATATTCACCATTTCAGCTACTTTTTTTTTTGCATTGTAAAATAAATAAATGTCTTATGTTTATCCTTTTTAACTTTAATTCCATGAATATAGTAATTTTCAAAATTATATATTCCACTGGCATTTACTATTTTAGCTATTTTTTTTTACATTAAAAATAAATAAATGTTTTATATTTTCTTTTCAACTTCAATTCTATGAAGGTAGCAATTTTTAAAATTATATATTCTACTGGTATTTACCATTCTGACTGCTTTTTTTTTGTATTAAAAATAAATAAACATTTTATATTCATTCTTTTCAATTTCAATTTCATAAAGGTAGTAATTTCCAAAATCATGTTTTACTAACATCTATCATTTCAACTACTTTTTTTTTGCATCAAAAATAAATGAATGTCTTATATTTTTTTCAACTTTAATTCTATAAAGGTAGCAATTTTTAAAATTATATGTTTTACTAACATTTACTATTCCAGCTGCCTTTTTTTTTGTATTAAAAATAAATGAATATTTTATGTTCATTCTTCTTAACTTAAATTTTGTTAAAGTTGTAATTTTCAAAATTATATGTTCTAATAGCATTTACCATTTTGGCTGCTTTTTTTTGCATTAAAAATAAATAAATGGTTTATATTTATACTTTTCAACTTCAATTTTATAAAGGCAACAATTTTTAATATTATATATTTTATTTACATTTACCATTCTAGCTGCTTTTTTTTGCATTGAAAATAAATAAACATTTTATATTTACTCTTTTTAATTCTAATTCCATAAAGATAGTAATTTTCAAGATTATATGTTTTCTAGTATTTACTATTCTAGCTGCTTTTTTTGTAATAAAAATAAATAAACATCTTATATTTGCTCTTTTCAACTCTAATTCTATAAAAGTAGTAATTTTTAAAATTATATATTTCACTAATATTTACCATTCTGGTTGCTTTTTTTTTTGCATTATAAATAAATAAATGTTTTCTGTTTTTTTTGCTTTTGCTAAGGCTATGATTATTGGCAACTATTGCCTTTATTGTATTTTAATTATGGTTATATAACTTGTAAAAGGTGAGTTTACAACTAGCAACATGTATAACTTTTGGTTGTCTATTTTAAGTAGTCTGCCTATACAGCAAATTCTACACTAGCTGCTATACCTGCAATCTACTAAGAGTTTACTTTTTAAACACTTTGATCTCTATATTTATACTGACAAATAGCATACAACTTCCTGTACATCAAAGTGCTATCTAACCTAACCTTGACCTCTCTGTCTGTATATCTGTCAAGTTATTACACATTTCAGAGTACATTACCTGACTATAGGGCTTTAGAGGACCTTTCTGTTAACTAACTACTCACATTTAGTCTATTGTTAATAGGGCTCATCTTTGCAGAGTTTACCCAAATTCTAGCACTAACTTCATAGCATATTTCTAGTACTTGTAGTATACTCCTGCTTCTGACTTCAGACTACAATTCAGATAGCCTGGTAGAACTATAACCTGTTCCTGATACTCTAGGATCTGCCTTTCAAGGTTCTTTTCCTCTAGTTAGAAACTTCCAGTGACCTGGTTGGTGGTACCTCTCATCTGAGGTTCTTATCTACCTGATTCCTTCTATATTGCTATCTGTTTTCTAGATTTAGTCTTTACAGTAGTACTGTCAAAGATTTGTGCTACCTTTTTACTTGAGTCTTTCTAAGTAGGCTCTGGCTTTACAGTTTATGGGTTTATATAGCCATGAGAACTTATCCTGAGTTTGCACTGCCTAATGCCAGTTTGCATTCCTTTATATAACTCCAACATTGCACAAATGCTTTATAATCTGCCAGTCATACTGATGCAACCATGTTACAGATATCTTATCTCAACTGATCGACAAAATGCTATTACTATAATACTGTCTATATTATATAAGTGATTATTTAAATTTTTGCTATTAGTGGAATTTGAACTCACTACTTATCACTTGGAAGATTGACAACTTAATTACTTCACTAAGTCACTATATCCATAAATGTCTTATGTTTATTCTTTTTAATTCCAATTCATAAAAATAGTAATTTTTAAGATTATATGTTCTATTAGCATTTTTTATTTCAGGTGTAAACCCAAGATAAGTCTTTAGATTATGTAAATCACAAAAATCAGATATGAAGATAGAAGCCTACTTGAAAGACTCAAGTAGAGAGATAGATAATCTGAACCTTCAATAGTGCTACTGTAAAGACTAGACCTATGAAATAAAGCTAAAATTTGTAAAACTAGACAAAGAGCCAGCCTTTAAGAAGAGGCTGAATAGAACCAACTAGGTCACTGAAATCTATTTCAGAGGAAAAGATAACATGCCAACAAATATATAAACTAAAGATGTATGATTACAATCTGCCTTTCTGGGCTATCTGATTTGAAAGCTTGATGGAACTTGAATTGAATATCAAAGTAGTAGGGATATATTGTGAAGTTAGTACTGAAGTTGGTGTGAACTCTACAAGGGCATAGTGGTTTAATAGTATGCACTGACTGCCAGTGTTAGTCTTGGCCATACTGATATTAGGTTAGCAGTAAGAATAAGATACAAAAGATTCTGAAAGGTTTAGTACAAGGTCAAAGGTTTTTTATATAAGTGAACTGCTTTAAAGACTTAGTAGCCATAGTATATTTTCACTGGCATTAGCCAGAGTCATT